TTTCAAATTGGAGAAAACTTAAATTTGATTTGTTAATAAGTTTAAATGATGGATTGATAGTCAATGGTATGATATTTGTTAAAAGAAAAATCATTGATTGAAGTTAGTACTCAATCTTCTTCTTTTCTTTGAATTTGCAATTTGCTCTTTGTTTTGCTTGATTGAAATGTTTAATTTGATGTTTAATATGCGCTTATTGAGTTAAATGAATGAGCTTTGATATTGGAATGCAATAGTAATAAATTGAATGAAAGAAATATAAATATGGGTTTGAACATCAATTACTTGATGCTTTAGTTAGGGTTTTGTTAATGGGATCATTGATGATGTTTTGATTCAAATTCTTAATGTTTTTTTTTTTTTGAATATTTTAGCTTCTTTATGATAAAATATGATAATAGTAAGAATTAAATGCCAATACATGATTTTGTGATGGGTTGAAGTTAAGACACGATATTCTAATATAGGTATATCAACAAGATCAAACTCGTTAATGTAATGCTCGATAAACAATTCAAAAGTTTGACCATCTTCCAACAAACCACACTTATACAATATATCACCATCATCTTCAATCTTGGTAAATGCCTTATAATCTTCTCTAATGAATCATCTCTTATAAATAGCATGCATATTACTGTAACCTAAATCCCTAGCCCTTTGCTCTAAATCTAGAAGATAGAGCCTATATGGGTCCACCCTTTCATCAACAGTAACATTTCCCCTAATATATGTAGTAAAAGGGTCGACAACCATAGTCCCACCATGGAATCATCTAAGAGTAATTGTTTTCTCAACCATTTGAAATCACAAGGTACATTCCACTATTTGATACTATATTACAACAATGCAAAGCCACAGAAGAAAACAAAAAATCAATATTAAAAACAAACCTTATCAGCAATACAAAATTTATATATACACATGATAAGCGTAGACAAATGCCAAAAAAGGAATCTCAGAAAGTTAAACATGTGAGAAATCCTAAAGAAAAAAAACACAACCTTTGCTCAATATTTCACAAAATAACCATAAATGTAATGCATTTCTAGAGCAGAAAAAGCAAGGGCAAAATATAGGAATAAAGTGCCTCCAATTTCTTCGATTCTATGAAGAAGCCACTGAATGCACACAATGCACTATTCCCTACATGCACGATTCACCGGAAACAACAACTCCTTCAATAACTCTTGCTCCATACTCTCCTTGCCACTTGTGTCAAGACGATTTTTGAAAGTGCTTCTTTAAATTGATTGGAGTTCTTTAATGCTATTTTGAATTTGGTTTTGTTTGGTTCAAGAAACAAGAAATTTGGGCGGTGGGAACTTGTACAATTTTGACCCATTTTTCATTTGGAGTGAAATTAAGTCAATTAGCCTACGTCGCAAAAACTGGCATAACAACCAAGTCATATTTTGCTCAATAAGCATCATCTTTAACACGTCATCACAATTGATTTACATGCACTTCTTGTCAATTACTTAGGTACACAATTATTACTAAAAATTACAACTTCAGGGGCACAATAGGTCCCCATAAATTAAAGGGTGTCACATGGCAAATTGTATAAAGTTAAAGGGCAAATTTATACTTCTGGCCAAGAAGTATCAAGTTTAATGGTTTTATAAAGTGAATTATTGGTAATTTTCACCTTTGACTTCTTTATACTACCTTCTAAATTTAGACATGTATGTAATATATTTTACTAATATATTTAAATTGCTTCCTAATTATTATGTCTTTATCTCTTTCTCATTTAATTTCATTTACTTTACAATAACAATTAATATTGTTTGAAAAAAGATTAATGAATATGGATGTGTTAAACTGAATAGCTAATGATATATAATATATATATTAACATAATTAAAAGAAGGGAAAATTATTATTTCGTCCCTGAGGTTTTACATAATTAATTAAGTAGTCCTCGACATTTATACATATAATTTATAACGTTCCTGAGGTTTACCACCGTCATATTAATTGGTCCTTCTATCAAAAAAATACACTTTTTCCGTTAATTTTAAGAAGAAAAGACGAAATTATCATTTGAAAAAATAATTATTTCATCCCTGAGGTTTGCCATAATTATTACACTTTTTCCGTTAATTTGGTAAGAAGAGAGAGGACGAATTATCATTTGAGAAAAAGTATTATTTCATCCCTGAGGTTGCCAATTATAAGTGTCCCCTAACATTTAGTACAATAATTTATAGACGTCCCTGAGGTTTACTTCCTCATATTTAATTGTGTCTGGTCCATAAAAAATACATTTTTTCCGTAATTTTTGAGTGGAAAAAAGACGAGAATTTACCTTTATAAGTTTCATTGACATTATTATTAATCTCTTTCCTCGTAAAATACCTGAAACTGCACATTGTGTTCACCAATCTCCTCAGTACCCAACAGCGGTCTCATTGCACCAGCTGTGTCAATGAAAACTATCATCTCCATAACCAGATCACCAACCGAAAAACTAAAACAACATTCAAACTCAATCAACATTCAAACTCAATCAAGCCATCATCATCCTTCATCCATTTATCTCTCTCTCATTGATTAGAGGATTTAGGTTAGTTTGGTCATTCTATTAAAAATTAACTACAAAAAGTGTGTTTTTTGGATGGAAGGACCAAGTAATATGACGAAAATAACCTCAGGGATGTTATAAATATTTGTATAAATGGCAGGGACTACTTGAATAATTATGGCAAACCTCAGCGACGAAATAATTATTTTCCCTTTTAGTTTTGTTGGTGATCTGGTTATGGAGATGATACTTGGCAGAGACACGGTGGTGGCAATGAAGACCGCGTTGGGTTGAGGAAGATGGTGAAAATTTGAGTTTCAGGTATTTTAAAGGAAAGGGATTGACAATAATGTAATGTCAATGTGAAACTTGATAGAAGATAATTTCCGTCATTCCGCTGCAAAATTAAGAGAAAAAGTGTGATTTTTTAATGGAATGACGCAATTAAATAGACGGAGAGTAAACCTCAGGGACGTTATAAATATTGTATAAATTCGGGGACTACAATAATATGACAAAGCCTCAGGGACGAAATAATTATTTTTTCAAAAGGATAATTTCGTCTTTTCCTCTGCAAAATTTAATGGAAAAAAGTGTAATTGTTTTTGGACGGAAGGACCAATTAATGATGATGGTGGAAACCTCAAAGGACTTATAAATATATGTAATAGGATAATTTCGTCTTTTCCTCTCAAAATTAATGGAAAAAATGTATTTTTTTGACGGAAGGACCAATTAATATGATGGTGGCAAACCTCAAAGACGTTATAAATATATGTATAAATGTCGAGAACTACTTAAATAATTATGTAAAACCTCAGGGACGAAATAATAATTTTCCCTTAAAAGAATTAAAATCAAGAAAATCAGAACTATAGTTGTTATATCTAATGTGTTAATCAATAATTAAAAACTTTTTTTTAGTGATATATTAATTTGATCTTTTTATTTATGCGTAAAATTACTATAAATATTAATATTATCCATTAATATTCTAATATTTTTATAAATTTTAATTATAAAATAATTGGATGAATAAAAATATTCTTAGTAAAAGTATTATTTGAAGTCAATTAGAAATCTTATCATTGAAAAGAAAATACAAATATTTATCTATAACGTGCCTACTCAATTAAGAATTATAAGGATTAATATTTTATTATAACAATAAAAGATTATTATGAACTTAATTAATAATTCTAATATTTAAATTAAAAAAGGGACAAATATTTTAGCTCTAACGTATGTATTATTTGGATTTATTATTATAACAATAACTAATATTTCAACTTCATTCTAACTCTAACTCAATTAAGAATTCTAACTACTACTATTTTATTATGATAATAAAAATATAATATTTGACCTCAATTAGAAATTTATATGGAAAAAAGTTATGTAAAGTTATATAAAAATATTAAATCACATATATGTATAATAAGAATACTAGGTAACAGAGTATTTACAACGGCTAAAACACCGTGCAATGTATATTTGAAAAAAACTAGTTTTATTAACTTAAAATTAAGTATTTTTTTATTTTACTGGTTGTCTTTATTATTAGAAAATTTAACTTTTTATTGTTGTTGCTCATGATTATCATTACGACGATGATTATATTAAGAAATTTAATTAATATTTTCAATGAAATATTTTTAGTTTGTGAAAATTATTTTATAATTAAAATTTTAAGTATATTTAATTTTTTTTGGTAATTACTCTTAAATGGTTGTATTTTATTTAAAAATATTATTATTATTGATCATTTATTTACTCATGGATTTATGTTAAACATGCTAACCTCATCCGTATATAACCATTGGATTCATGCATTTAATGAGTTGAGTTAAGTAAAAAAGATCATTGACCTACATGTAACGGGCCAAATTAAATCAATAAATCCAAACGGCCCATGTATAGCCTCAGTGGCAATAGTGCTTTTCCTGCTAGGGATCACAATGAGTCGGGTAATTGCTTAAAATATAACATCCGAACCCGAATCCGATTATAAATTAGGTATTCGAACCCTTTCAAAATTTTATCTTTAATATCTGAATCAGTTCCGAAGCATTTTAGCATTAAAAATATTTTTATTTTTTAACAATAAAAAGTAAGTAAAATTATAAGAGTATTATTTTGACTTAATAAAAAATATAATATAAATATTAAATATGACTATAGCATTATTTATAATTAAAAAGATGGTTATATATAATTTTTTTTAAAAAATAATTATTTTAAATATTTATTAAATAGATAGCGAGTACTGAGAGTCCTTAAATTGTAATCCAGTCGAATCCGTTGCGGGCAGTAAACCTGAATCCGTTCCAATTTCCAAACCCGTTTATCCACTCCCGAAACCAGCTAAAATCAGATGGCGTAAAATTGCAATCCTTGTTCCTAGTTACGCCGCTTAATTTAGATTTCCCATCTTACAAAACGACTGCGTTTAAGGACAGCGTGAGAACCTGTTGTAATCGCAATTCGCTAAACTATCGTCTTCCTTCTCTAAACCCCGAAGCAAAGTTGCAAACCCCGCGTCATGCTCACAAGATGAGTAAGCAATGGCCCTTAAGAGCCCTCTCACGTGCTCTCTCACGTGTATACTCCTCCTCTTCATCGTCTTCTTCATTTCCTCTGAAACATGTAACCAAGTCGAACTTCGAGTCCGCACTGGCCAAACTCAAAAGCCATGTCGGAGCCGCGGATTTCATAGCCATCGATCTGGAAATGACCGGAATCACCAGTGCTCCATGGCGCGAGTCCTTAGAATACGACCGATTCGACGTTCGGTACCTCAAGGCTAAAGATTCCGCTGAGAAATTCGCCATTGTTCAGTTCGGCGTCTGTCCTTTCCGATGGGACTCTCACCGCCACTCGTTTATTGCTCACCCGTCGGTTTCTCTCTCCCACGCTGTCTCTCTGTTTGTCAATGTTGATTGCTTAATTGACTGTCTTTTTTAACAGGCACAATTTCTTCATATTTCCTCGCCAAGAGCTAGCAACTGATGGCCCATCTTATGAGTTCCTCTGCCAGACCACGTCTATGGATTTCTTAGCTAAATATCAATTCGATTTCAATGCTTGCATATATGAAGGTACTTCTCTGTCTTTAAACTTGATAATTGGATATGGCAAACGAAAAATGTTTTCTTTTGGGGAATTCACGCTCTTGGTTAATCTCAGGAGTGTCTTATTTATCCAGAGGACAGGAAGAGGAAGCACTAAGACGCTTGTATTCGCGATATGAGAGTGATGGAATGTTAGATAACCTGAATGACGTTAGAGACTTGCCATTGGCCAGTGTGACTAATATTCTTTTCAGTGAACGAATGACGAAAAGATTGAGAGAATGGCGTGATGGGTTATTGAGGGAAGGAAATGGAGGATTTCAGTTCCAAGGCAGCTTCAATAACTCCAGGCAACAGCTCCAAACCATTTTCTACAAGATGCGTCCGGCTCTTTGTCTGAGTGGTTTCACGTCCCATCAACTCAAGTTGATTCAGATGGTAATATGCTGCTTCATTTTGCTTTGTTTCAGTCAAGAAAATGTTGTCACATGTGGAGTTTAAAAATAATCCTTTGATATCATGCTTATGGGCTTTTCCTATATTCAGTGAAATATTTGAACATGGCTAATTGATGAAAATGAAAATATGCAGGTCGTTAAGAAGCATTTTAAAGATCTTGCTTATGTTCATGTCAACGTTGAAAGTTCTTGTTTGCAGCAGCTAGTTGTATGTACTGAATCTGAAGATGACAAGGACTTGCTTATGGTAAAGTAGATATTGCATTTATATCGCTTACTTTTTCTGCATTTCAAAATTCAGCAGCTACATTTGAATCTTGGATTAACACTTCAAAGACAATATTTTGCAGAAACAAGTGAAGGATGAATGTCGTGAAAAGGCAGAGATGAAGATCAAAGATGCAGTTGGGTTCCGTCATGTTATTGACCTTCTTTCTTCTGCACAGAAGTTGATTGTTGGTCACAATTGCTTCTTGGGTATGCCTTCAATCTTCTAGTTCACAAGGACATTATGTTCATCCAGTAAATTATTCATATGCTTTGTTTCTCTGCACAGATATTGCACACATATACAGTAAATTCTTTGGTCCTCTTCCTCTGACTGCTGAAGAATTTGTTGCCTCTGTTAACAAGCACTTCCCACACATTGTTGATACCAAAATACTCTTAAATGCTAATGATGTGCTCCTCCGAAGGATGAAGAAATCAAGGACGTCGCTTTCATCAGCCTTTCGTTTACTCTGTCCAGAAATCGCTCTGGGTTCTAATGATAGTTCTGATATAGCTTTTGATCGACAAGTGAATGTGGAGGTTCAAGTGGATGACACGAGGTTTGCTTCCTGCATTTCTTTGTCTTAACTTGGTTGTGCTTGATTCATATGTATACTGTTTCATAATTAAAAGATGGGGGCTGTGAATGCATCCTAAATTCATAATTTAGACATCTCACTTTAGTACATAGGCAGCTGCATGACACTTATTTGTCTTGTTGGAATATTTGACCTCCTATAATATGATCTTTTGTGAGGTGCATATACTTTGTGTGTATTTGTTACAGTCCCAAATTTGGATCTAGTTATGGGTCTTTGAATTAGGGAATCAGGTTTGAGATGGGGTAGAAACAAACTTAGAGAGAATTTGCAATCTTTTAGAGCTCGTTAAGAGAGAACTCTACAATCTCTGAGTTTTAGGAACTCAAAACCTTTTGTTGAAATTCTGGTACATTTTTTTCCTGATATCACAAACTTTTAAATAACTAAAATCAAAGCAAAGCTAAAACTACCCGCTACCCACTGCAATAACTACCCACTAATATCTACTCATTACAATAAATAACTTGCTTAAACACTCACTAATACCCACTAACAATGAAACTGATAATAACATGATAAAAACTGAATAACTAAGTAAAACTGCCTTAAATACAAAACTACCTTAAGTACAGTAGCTCAATAGCAGTATTCCATACCTTTCAAGCCAAAATACACGATAACAAAATTTGAAAGTTACTTTGTTAGGCATGATGTCATATATGGAAAAAAGAATGAATTGATTGCTATTTATCTTTGACCTCCAAACTGAGAAGCCATCTTAGAAGTCTTGAATATTTATTTTCAGATTTTCCAAGTTGAGTTCTGGAGTCAAGCATGAAGCCGGATATGATGCTTTTATGACAGGGTGTGTCTTTGCTCAGGCATGCAGCCATCTAGGTATTGATTTTGATCTCCAGTTGTCCTCTGATAATCTGGCCCATAATGAAAAACTCCAAAAGCACGTCAACCTCCTATACCTCAGTTGGTTTAATGGGGACATTATTAATTTAAGAACTGGGAACAGGATTGCTGAATCTTTGGTAACTAATAACATCAAAAAGAGGCACACCAAGATTTTGTTTGAGAACATTGTTTTAATCTGGCGATTTCCATCTACACTCAAGGCAAGTGAGATAAGAGAATGCATCTGTAAAGTCTTTGGTCAAAACTCTGTTACTTCCATATATAAAGTGGATGAAACTGCAGTTTTAGTTCAGTTCAGCAAGTCAGAGTTGGTCTCTGATTTTCTAGTTTTGAAAGAAGAATTAGACAGAAGTAATGATGTTATCTCTGTTTTCCATCCCTTATCAAAACTACTAGAAGGTGGAAATACATGTGCCGCTGAATATGAAACCTATAAAGAGATCTGCAGTTCACCTTTTTCCAAGGTTCTCTTTGCAGATCAGGCAGCGGCAGTTGGTATCGGATCGCAGACCAAGTTGGTTGAATCCAAAGTGGTGGCACAATCCCAAGAGCAAGAAACTGCTGTAAAAAAAAGCAAGGCAGTCAAGCAACGTGTAATAGATGATCTGTTGAGTGGTCAGTCATCATGTACCGAGGTTATTGATTCTTTTTACATCGGACAGGTCAAACAGATAGGAGCTACTAATTTGTGATTGTGGCTGATGCATTATTTTTAAGCTCCCACTTTCAACAAAGTCATAGGATATAAACTTGTTATTTTATGAAATTTTTGTATGCGAAATGTTAGTTTGTGGTGGAAGCAATAAAATAAACTTACACCAAGTCATAGGATATAAATTTTTTATTTTATGAAATTTTTGTATGCTAAACAATATTAGTTTGTGGTGGAAGTAAGAAAAATTTATTTGTATGCTAAACAATAATAGTTTGTGGTGGAAGTAAGAAAAATTTACTCGTTGATGTGTATTATATTGACTTGTCTGTAGCTAAATATCATAATCATAATTAAGGATTGCAATGGGTAGGGCACTTTGGTACTATTTAAAGTATCCAAACTCATTCCAATATAGGATTATTTGAAATAAGTTGGACCAATGTAACTATCTTTATGAAAAAGAAAAAATTAGATACAATGTAGTTTTGGTGCAGTAAAAGGTTACTTTTTACTGTGAAGGTTTACTTTTTATTGTTGCTATTATTATTATTATTATTCTCAATAATTACTAAGTTATTACAAGGGTTATAATTAGTGACAACTGGGAGTGCTAGCTATTATTTATTATTTGTGTTTAATAGTTAAAAAATATTTTTAATAAATATGCATTAATATATAGCTTTTAATTTATTTGATTTTGCAAGTTATTAGTCATCAATTTTTTAATAAATTATTTGCATCAATCCACTTTGTTACCGAACAAGTTTTTGAAAACCAACAGACAAATTCAGAATTTTTATAAAATTAGATTACATATTTGAGTGTAAATGTAAAATTACAATACAACAGCTTTCAGTTCGTGTGACTTTGCAATGTTTTGTTAATTTGAAATGGAGTGAGATTATGTTAGATTTACAAAATTTTTCCAATTAGATGGGTCGATCGTCTATATATTAACGAAAGAAAATGAATCTTTTTGGTTGGTTGATGTGCAGGAGATGAGAAGAAATTGATGAAATCTGATCGAGCAAGAAAGACTAACTGTTCAATCACAAATTACACAACAAAACCCTCTAATCAAGTAAGAAATAATACTTTCTTATCATATGCCTCCTGCAACTTGTTTAATTAACTAGGTTTCCTTCATGGGATTGCTTTGTACTTAATTGGATCTTTTTGTTTCATTGCTAATGCTCAGTACTTTTATTATTGAATATTGTTAAAAAACTTGGAGATAAGTAAATAAAATAAGGAAAAATTTTATATCAACAATACAGAATTTGTTCCATGTTTAAATGATAAAAAAATTCAAGGAAATTTCAATTTATTCATGAATTAAATAAATAATTTCTATAATTGTGTATCTAATTTAATTTTCCTCCCATATCTCAAATGTATATTTGGATGACAATTGGGTGAAATGAGTGAATAATAAATTAGTTACAATAAAAAAAAAATTGTGAATTTAATTGCTCATAATCTAGTTTAGAGGTTTTCACATGCAATGATTATGAAAATATAAATAAAAGAACAAAATAATATTTTCATTCCCATCAAATGAGATGGTAGTAATTTGTTTGTACACTATTTTATTTTATATGCACAAATTTAAAAATCATTGATATTTCATGTGCAATTTAAATATGCATAAGGATTTAGTATTATTTATAATATCCGTAATATAATAAGTCTATATCAATTCCAACTTCCGTTTCAATAATAGGAATTTATAAATATAATAAACTGTTTCATGAAGGGTCTGTTCGGTAAATTTAACTGTTTTAGTAGTTGTTAGCTATTATAGGGTGTGTTCGGCAATAGCGTTTATAGTAGCGTTTAGTGTTTTGAACTAGTCAAAACACTATTTCTCTAAATTACTGTGTTCGGTAACTTGATATACAGAGCAACTTTCAGAGGTTTATGGAGTGTTTTTTAAAACGTTATCTTACCTAAGGTTCGGTGTTTCGCTCTTTTTACTAATTTTTTTTTACAACCTTATCCTTAATAAATATAAAATCCTTTGTTATCACATTATGTGTTTTATTATCTTTATATTTGGCTTATTTATATTTGCTAGGAAAAGAAAAAAACATTATTTATATATTTGTATTTAAACTCAAACAAATATTAATTTAATAAATTTGCTAGTTTTATTATCTTTATATTTGGCTTATTTATATTTGCTAGGAAAAGAAAAAAACATTATTTATATATTTGTATTTAAACTCAAACAAATATTAAAACTTAAAAATGTTGATCCCCTAAAATATTAAAAATTTTCCATTTTATTTATAAAATAGTGAACTTTTTAATTTTTGCTCCTTTAAATTTTGGAAATTTAGGTATAGTGAAATTATTTTTTTATAATGAATTTGTAATTGAAAATTCTAGGTGAACATTTCAATGTCTTTTTTTATCATTTTAAATTTATTTCAATCAAACAGCTGTTTTTATCGAACATTTTCGTTTTCAACCTCTATTTATATAGCTAATAGCTGGCCACTAACATGTATCAGCTAACAGCAACTAAAATAGTTAACAACTATTAAAGCAGCTAATAACTACTAGAACAGCTAGTATTGCTGAACAGACCCTTAATAGTTGTTAGCTATTTTATTTATAGTTAGCTGCTAAATATTAACTGTTAGTGGTTAATAATTATATAGCAGTTTACAATAAAAGTATTCAATACAAAAAATTATTTGATTAGCTGTTTAATATAAAATGATAAAAAATGGTATGAAAGCGAGGAATAAAGTAGAGACAAGTGATAAGTGTAGGTCTCATACAATTATAAAATGTTAAACGTTAATGCAAATAATATTTCATAAAACACTATCTCAAATTCTAAAACGTTAGAGTAGATATTGTATTATCGAACTGTCACGACCCGTTTCCGTGGGCCGGACCGGCACTAGGGCCCAGGTAAGCTTAAGGCCCCCGAAGCCCGTAGTAAGCCTGAAATACTAAAACTTTACAGCCCCGTAGTAAAGAGCCTGAAATACCTAAACTTTACCAGGGGTCAAAAAAATATTAACATTCCAGTCACCATATAAATTAATATTGTTTATCAAAACGTAGTAAGCCTGAAACACTAAAACTTTACCGGCTCAATATAATTATATTGTTTATGTTAATACACGACTAATTGTATACAGTTTCTACAACTGCGGAGTCACTAACTAACATACATAGATTTTTATACATCTAGATACATAGCAAAATATTTATTGGTCTAGTAAAAATTTCTTTCTAACTCTGCGACGAAGGAACATAGCTTAGTCGAATTAAAGAGAAACTTTCGTCCTGGAAAATTAAACAAGATATGTGAGCTTTCTAAGGAGTAACATTATTGCACAACACATACATTCACACAAATGTATAAATATATATATATATATCAATCTAGTCATCCGACTAGTATATGCTCACGCAGCCAGTCACACAAAATGGCATGTCACCGGCACTCACAAACAATATCACCTTCAAATCACCTTCAAATAATCACCATCACGTGGGAATTAGTCAGTGGGAGTACCTAAACCCCCCCGACGAGCCCCGTCCTCGGTCAAACAGCCCATCCTCCTTCAAACCAATTGTGCCAACTCGCATCTGAACGGGGAGCCCAATCCCCCCAATTATCTGGCCGACCCGGTCAAGATCCCCTCCACTTGACCAGATTCCTCACTTCAATATTATTATTTTACATTCTCTCTTTCTTTTCCATCTCAAATCAACATCATTTCATCAATCATTCAAGGTGCACAAACGGGGCCGCCGATCTCCCATTTTACCGGCCGACGGCCATTTTTCATCGAGTTTCATCGAAGTCATATGTAATCGACAGTTCAAAACAAACCAAATGGTGAACCCACTTTCAAATCCCCAATTCCACAACACAAAACAAAGCACAAGCAATAACACAATACAATTAAATTCAAAGCATTCAAAATTAGATGCAGACTATAATGGATCAGCTGATACATTGTAATGCAATGCAAACAATCAAAAGCATCCTCCAAATTTTTTTCTCAAAAATGCCAATTAAATAATAACAATTAATCTTAACAAAATAACAACAACGATAAAAATAAATAAATAATAATAATAAATATATAAATAATAATCATTAATAGACTATGGATAATGATATGGTAGTTAAAGCAAACCTTTAGTTGTATTAATGTATCGGAACTTGGTAAAGATAATTATCTTAATTAAACTATTTGTTATGTTGTGATCCCAATTAAAATTCAGTCTAAAGTTTTCTTAACCCGTTGAAATTTTCAGGCAGCTAACCTCCCCTAAAAATGGGACTATCAACGCTGTTTAAATATCCCAAACAAACACTAAGTATGCAATTCCAATCAAATACACACAGCCCATCCATCGGGCAATTAAACAAATCAATTTTCCCATCCCTCCTTCAATTTCACAACATCACCCGCAACAATCAAAATTAAAATAATTTACCAATAAGCATTATATCTAAAACTACCGTTAATCCACAACTTAAATTCTATTAGATTTATTATTATTCAAACTTTCCCTAAAACAAATTTACTAGAATTCAATTTTAATTAATCAAGCAATTTTTAATTGATAGATCAATACTAATTTAAATTACTTCTAGTCAGAATTGCTAAAATTAAATTAACTATCCGAGATTACTAAAATCAAATTAATTAACTAAAATTACTAAAAATTAATTAATTTCTTAGAATTAATAAAAATTAATTTATACTCAATTATATTCCTGCCGGAGTTTATTTGATCGGTGACGAAAACTACGCGTGCCGGATTGAAGCTACACGCACTGGGACTGCAAATGGGTGGCCGGAATCAGATCGGAGTGGCTGGACCACCTGAGACCAACGCGTAAACGGGACTGAGTTGCAGCGGTGGCGCGATCTAGCGAAGGAACTGCTGGCGACTCGATGGAGCTCGACGGATCGTTCCAGGTGGCCGGAGACTTGCTGGATCGACACTCACCTGGACAGATCGGAGGAGCAACCTTCTGTCCCTGCTTGGCTTGAACGGAGAGAGGCGCCGGCGATGGCGGAGCTACTGCAGCGTGGAGCAACTGCCGCGTGGAGCAGCGGCGAGGTGGCGCGACGTTGGCCTCGCAGCTCGGTGATAATGGTGGCCTCGCATTTCTGCTGGAGCCTGGTTGGGGCGCGACCGCCAGATGCATCGTTCACACGAGGAAAGAAGAAAGGGAAAGAAAAGAAAAGAAAAGAAAAGAAAGAGGAAGAA